CCCACCTGAGGACAGCGCACTTCATTGCGGCCGAGCTTCTCCGGGGGGTCGCGGGCGGCGGGGGCTGCTGTTGCCTGGCCCTGGGTTGGCACTGCTGGGGATGCGGCGGCCGTCCCCTCATTCCAAGTCCCATTCTCGAATGTTATTCTGTGACATATAACCGAGTCACCCGGGCAGCCGCCGATGTTCCGAAGGCGCTCATTGGCCGCCGCAACAAAGAGGGGCGGGCCTAGGTCTCGGGACTCCACCTCCCCAAGCTCTGCCGCGCTTTGATTGGCTCCGGATTCCCCGGCGGGAGGGGACCCAAGGTAGGGAAGCTGGGCGGCCGCGCGAAATCCGACCGCTCTGGAGTCCTGGGAGCCCAGCGGGGCTGGAGAGGTTGTCCGTAGGCCTGAAGATCCAGTTTCACCAGGGGTCGTGCCCCCGGGAGGGTTTGCAACTATGGGAAGCAGCGGAGAGGCAAAGCCTCCCTAGAGTGACCCAGAGGCAGAGGAAGGCTGGGCTTGCCGCATGTCCCTGCCGGGGACGTTGGGCGATTCAGGCAGGGACTTAGGTTTATATGTGTGCACAAAATTGAGTGGGCTTTTAAAGTCCTACAAGTTCCCCGCAGATTAACAAATGGGCACAGCCTTGGACCCTCTGTTTTAGTCATGGCTAATGAAGTCCTTATAAACCCAAGCGGATGTGCAGCCCTAAAGCCAAGAGGTCATCCAGGCCCTGTTCTTTCCCCCGTGCTTGGTTAGAGGAGGAGACAGAGAGGCTACAAAGCCGTGGTGAAGGGCTGCCTTCTCACCCCGCCCATACATTTGCCTTAAAGTTGCTATCCTTTTCTTTAAGAAAGAGAAGCCCAAGGGAGGCGGGGAAAAGCACCAGGCTACTGACCAGCAGGCAAATTCTAAGTCCAGGTTTGTCTTTTGCTGAGCTGCGTGGCCCTGCACGAGGGCCTACCCCATGCTGCCTCTTAGTTTCTCCTTCTTAAGACAGCAGACTCTGTCTGACAGCGCTCCGGCTAGAGGGATCTGCGATTCCCCAGCTTGTGTCCTGTGGACACTTGGGAACTTGGCCAGAACCTCCTGCCCTAGGGCCAGGGTACCAGCTTCTGGAGGACAAGGCGGCTGTGAGAGCAGTGGGTTAGGCTCAGCCTTGGGTTAGACACAGACCCTGCCCACCATGGAGCCTTGAGAGAGCAGCTCCTGGATGCTGAACCCCACGACTGGCCTGAGATGCTTGTGCCCGCAGGTGGGCACAGAGGGCAGTGTCTGCGGAGGCCCTGGGGCACAGCTGAGAGGCAGGACTTGGGCAAGGAGACTTGGGTTCAGGACCCCGCCTTGGCTCTGCACTGCTCACACACAGAGCCCAGGCCTGTGCTCTCCACAGTCAGGACAGAGAGCAGTAATTTGGGTCTATAGCAGGGCGGAAACAGGCAGTTCATGCAACTCTTGAGTTTGTGCAACTGACCAATTCAAGGGGAGCAAGCACACATGGGAGAAAAGTCTCCTTTTACAATATAATTGCATTCGTTTTCATTTTGTGATTAGCAGAAAACATGCCAAGTCTGGACATGGTGGCAAACACCTATGATCCCAGCACTCAGGAAGCCGAGGCCGGAGGATCACCATGGGTTCGAGGCTGGCCTAGGCTCCATAATGAATTAAAGGCCAACCTGAATTATATAGTGAGACCTTGTCTCAAAAAACAACAAAAAAACAAAACAAAACAAAAAAAGAGCCAGGGATTTAGCTCAGTGGCACTGTGCCTGCCTCGCAAGCATGAGGTCCTGAGTTCGATCCCTAGTACTGGAAAAACAAACAAAAAAGAAAAGAAAAAAAGAAAGTAAACATGACTCAGAGAGTGATTTACTTTCTCATTTTGAATATTCTTTCTCCTTTTTTTTTGCGGGGTGGGGCGGAGATTGAACTCTGGTCCTTGCGCTTGCGAGGCAGGCCACCGAACCGCTGAGCTAAGTCCCCAGCCCTCCTTTTTTTTTTTTTAATTCCCCTCTCAAATCTACTACCATCTCTGACTTCCCTTGGAGTTGCCGCCAGTCCAGGAGAATAGAGTTTCAGGATGAGATGGGTGGGAGTTTCGCCTGACAACCGGACAGACCAGAGGCGAACACGGAAGAACGGCAGGGGCTACCACCCTCAGATCCCCGGTGTGCCTAGGCAGGCCACGTGCAGACAACGTAAAATCTGCACCCAAACCCTGCTTTGCCTGTGTAAAAGAATGTTCCTGGTCTGGGTGTCTCATAGAAGCAGAGAGATATAGCCGGGCATGGGGTGCTTACGTGTAATCCCAGCACTCAGGAGGCTGAGGCAGGAGGATCGCTGTGAGTTTGAGACCAGCCTGGGCTACATAATGAGTTCCAAGTCAGTCTCAACTACATAGTGAGGCCCTGTCTCAAAAAAACAAAACAAAACAAAACCAAAGAAGAAGCAGAGTGATACAATGTTTCTCCTTTAGTCCAGGGTTCTGGTGGAGGTTATTGGCGGCTCTTTGCCTCCAAGCGTCTCAGTCAAAGTGAGCTTTTGTTAGTAATTTCCAGTACCTCATGTGTCTGTTTTTGCCTTTCCCAGGAGTGGGATGGGTGGAGAGCCAAGTGGCAAGGCCTATGGTGACAGCTGTGAGACTTGGCTGCTCTTCCAAAGAGGTGCCCTGCAGCCCCGGGAGGGCGCAGCACTCAGAGGAGTCTGCCTTGGAATTCCCTTGCGCTTGAGAGTTGTGCTGGATGGGTGGACCAGCCAACACTGTTCACCCTCCCCACGTGTATTCGGTGTTCTGTGAACCCAGGCCATCATGAATAGTAGGGGCTTTCAAGGGTCAGTAGTGAGAGCGACATAGTCATCGACAGGCACAGTGCGGAAAGGCCAGTTTGTGATTTGAACAGGGACGCACAGCGACAGGATGCTCAGCCTCTGAGAGCACAGCTGCCGCCTGTCCTCACCACTGTGACTGGTCTAGCAGCGAAGAGCAGTGGGAAGCTTTGAAATGAGGAGAGCCAGGTTCAAACAGTGTCTCATTATTCAAGTGTCAAGTGCTGGAATTGCAGAGATAAATAAGACAACATCTGACCCCAGTGGATCCTATTTCTGGCTCCACCATTTGTCCACCGTGCAATTTTGGGTGAGTTACTTAATGTCTCAGAGCCTTACTTTGTAGCGGGTCTGATGCCACTTGCGAGGGATGTGAGGCTTCAGGGAGGCCAGCTCTGTTACAATACACACTCAGCTCCTCGTCCTTGTCACTCAAGGCTTCCTCTGGTTCTGAGAACGTTCCATGGACAGATCTGAGACACCTGCTGCCGGAACACCTCCTTGTGTGAGGATAGGGACCAAGAAATGGCTTCAGTTGTCCAGGGAAAGAGAGACACATTTCAATCAAGCCATGAGTGTATGGAGGGGGAAAGCAGAAGCTGGGGGCGGGTGGGAGGACAAGGGGGCACAGAAACTGGCAGTCGCTGCCTTGTTTAGCAGCACCGGGAGACCCAGCCAGTTACGGGTGGAAGGAATGCGTCCCTTCCCTGAAATTCATGTGTTGAAGTTCTTACTCTAGTACCTCAGAGCGTGAACTTATTTGGAAATATCGCCATGGTACGTGTAATTAGCTCAGACGAGGTCAGTCCGATGAGACTGACTCACAGGGAGAACGTCTTGTGGAAATGAGCACCAAGGAACCAGGAGAAAGCCCCGGACCCGATCTGTCCCTTGAGCACGGCCCTGCTGATGCCGTGGTCTCAGACTTCCGGTCTCCAGCATTGGAAGCTGCTACATTTTTCTGTTTACACAGCTCAGCTTGTGGTACTTTTTGAGGACAGCCCTGGCCGACTAGGCACTCCCCAGATTGGGGCTCCGGCCATGGGGTCAGCCCAGGCATGCAGGCCCAGTGAGCAGCCTGAGCAGGAAGTTACCACTGTGCTGTGCTAGGGAACTGACTGACTTCTCCACTCAAGATTAACACTTAACGTTCTGCTAATCATGAGAGTCTATGACCCTGCTCTTGTCCTAGGATAGCAGATGGAAAGCTCAAATGAGAGGCATGAGCTTCTCTCCCAAGGGCTCAGAAAAGTAGAATAGGTTCTTTGGCCCTCGTTTCCCCAGAGATATGTTCCACACACGCCACGTTAGCCTGTTGAGAGCCGTTCTATA